CGTCCAACACTTGTTGGCTGCTTGTGCTCTTTAGGTCAGACGTGTGTCGGGAAGCTCCTCTGTTGTTTTTCCTCTGTCGGTCTCTGTTTAATGGTGGATGAAATAAAGAAAGTGGTGGTACTTTATTTACTTTGAGCAAGCGAACGTTATGTTCGTCGATAATTAATCCATCAGATAATTCAGAGGCGATCTGTTCAACAAGTTTTACTTCAGGAGCTGCGAGGCTTTCAGCTACGTTCAGACCGAGCTCTGCCTCTGTTTACTGAAGCAGCGGCTGCTGACGTCATTACGCTCTTGTGCGATGCTGCGTTCAGGACGAGCATGGAAAACTCACCACTCTTACGCCAATACTGTCACAATGATGCATTTAGGTACCGAAACATGGTACCGTTTGATGTTAAGTGAATAGATACTCGGTAGTACCGACAGAATACTTAAAAAAGTATCGAATTTGGTACCCATCCCTAGGTAGTATTATACATGGGTTATTGATGATTAGATTTTTAAATGCTTTTTTAGCTCAAAAAATGATCGTATTATGCTCGAAATCATATTWTACATGAATAATAGGGGTGCAACAACACATGTACCTGTATCGAACCGTACCGAACCGTATCGAACAATACAGATTTTTAAAATGTACTTTATCAGCTTGTCTTCTGAAGATGCTCTGTGTTGAAGGATCAGTGGATCTGTGTTCGACTACTCCACCTAGGCTGCATTTTTGAGCGCAGGTCCACTGAGAAACTTGCTGTTTCAGCAACATTTAATTAAAAAAACTGTACTTTTGAGGTTAAACAAGTGTTCATAATTAATATAAATAAATTACAAGTTAAAAGGGCCATGGAAATTTCTCTTTTTTGTATCGAAAAAATATCGAACCGTGAGACTAAAGTATCGAAACGAACCGAACCGTGAATTTACTGTATCGTTGCACCCCTAATGAATAAAAACGGTAAGTTTAGGCCATTTACTATCATAGCCAGACCTGGCCCACATTTTGTTGACAAACCATTTGCCATGCCAGCGGTCAGCCTAGCTTGACACCAGATCTAGCTCACATTTGTCTGCTATGTCAACCCATTCTCACTCCCAAGTCGTCAACATATTGACTCTTGGTCAGGTAGATGTCTGCGTCCAGCTTCGGACACGTYGGGTACCCCCCGCRTGTCAGTTCTTTATGAGATGAGGCGGAGGAGGACGAGCGTGTTGTCATATTTTTTTAAAGAGTAGGAAATGCGCGAAACTAACCATCCCAGACCCTAAATTTAACTTCTATTAGCCTTATACAGCCTATCTCTGACCCCAGTACCTAMAATTAACCATTAATCCTGATCCCACATGTTAACCACAGACCCCACAACCCAAAGACCCCTAAGTGACGCAACCCGGAAAAGTYGCGGGCAGCAAGGACTGAYACGCGGGGGGTACCCGACGCGTCAAAACTGGACGCAGACGGTACCTGACCAAGCGTCAATATGTTGACGAGTCCRGAGTGAGAACGTGTTAGCTATGTGGGTTACGTCAGTAAACTCGGCATGCTGAGGCTGACGTTGCGGGTTCTTCTGCACATAGAGAGTTCACTCTGGAGTCTGATGGAGAACAAATTTGCAAAAAAAAATAAATCGGATTTGAGCAAAAAGATTGGAAATTTAAAGCCTTCAGTATGAATGTAGCCCAAGACTATTTGAMCAAGTTGTTCTTTGGGGTTGCAGCAATTAGTACCCCCACTGTCCCACCCTTAGTTGCATCCCTGGTTATTATTATTTAGGTTTGTTGAATTGTATGCATTTTTATGGCAGACAAAATACATTAAAGTTTCGGTATGAACTCCAGCATCCACATAATTATCGTTGCACCAGCTCCAACAAATTGGAACGTTTCAGTCCTTTAGTACATTGTGGAAAAATAAACATTATAGTTGAAGGAAGTCATGAGAATGAAAATGCTGCACRGCACCAGCAGATTTAAAAGAGCAGGAAAGCATTCTTAAAACAGGAAGATTCACACGGCGRAGTCTGAATCAGTGTTACGCTAATCAAGAGTTTATAATTACAAACCTARATTATCGGGCGGAAACAGGAAGTGACACACATGCACAGATACCTACACACAAGCAATCAGAGACTATTTATCAGACAAGTGACGCCAGCTGTCTTTCAGGAGCTGCAGGAATTATTCTGCCAGAAGAACTTTTGACTCTTCTTTTAACAGCAGAAGGTAGCGGTGGTATATTTGTATAAATGCATGCTGGAAGATTCACTATTTTCACACCAAGGGGCACCAAAGCTGCAGTGCTAAATGCTGCTTCTGAGCTCATCTCTAGAATCCAGTAAAAGCATCACAGTTGCTGTATTCTGCCTCTCTCTGCTCGGCTGATGTCAGTCCATGCATGTCAGAGTCTGTCTCAGAGAAAGGTGAAGCGCACACATTATACATCGTGTAATTAGAGCTCATTTTCTCATCTAACCTGCTGGAAGTCGTGAGTTAATGTCTGTCATTCATTGATGTTTAGTAAAGATAAAAGGTCTGCTCAAGCCTCACCAGGGCTCAGAACAAAACAGTAACAATTAGGGGTGCAACAATACATGTACCCGTATCGAACAGAGCTTTAGGTTCAATACACACTTGTATCGAACAATACAGATTTTTAAAATTTACTTT